CACACACACACACACACACGCTCGCGCGCATTGTAGCTGTAGTGGCAGACGGTATAACCACAACTGCAATCATTTCAACAGCATTCTATTGCTGATAGAAATTGCCCAGATCTAAATAAGAGCCCATCTTCTGTGGGCCCTACCTGATCCAGTGAGGTGTTAATTAATCATTTTATCTCTTGTCCTACTTGTTTCCAAGACATAAATTTTCCAGTGAATCCTAGGGTAAAATATAGGGAGAAGAGAGTAAGTTTCTTCTCAATTTCAGCATTTATGGGGGAGTCAAAAACAATACCAGAGATATTTTTTAAAAATCCAAATCCATACAAAAATTAATGATGACTGAACTATCAAAATTTTAATTAAAGTTGGCCTTGGATTCTGCTCTTATATGATATGCCTCACTGCCCCTTCCTTCATAGTTATGGCAGTAGGGGACCCTGGTATTACACAGATGTGTCACGTGGGTAAGGACTGCTCTACATGAAGCAGTATATTTGAGGGGAGAATGGTCATATCGGCATCGTAATTACCTAAGTTTCTGCAAGGAACAGATTGAGATAATTTCTTCTGTGTATCTGCTATGTTTATCCAAGATTAGTGACAGAGTGACAGTGGCTACATATTTTTCGAATACTTATTATGTGACAGTCTTCTCCTTGACACTTAACACAAATTATCCATTCAGTGTTCACAGTAATCCTATGAAGTAGGTACTGGCATTAACCCCAAGATGAGACTGAGGATCAGAGCTAAGCAGTTGGCTTCAGGTTATCCCCCTAGTACGTATCCAACCAAGGTTGAAGTTCTTAGCCTCACAGGGTTTGAGAAATCACTCATACTTAGTCTGAATCCTTTAACCCAAGACTTCAGTCTATATCAAATGTACTATATGCACCCAAAATAGTTGTACAGTGCGATGACCTAATACAAAATAACTTTCCAAACGAATTGCACTGCTCAGAGTTACTCATGTGTTGTGAGGTTTATGCACACAATTCCAGAGACATTCCAATAGAAGTTATTTCCCCCACCCTATATCGTTTCCCCTGGCTGCCTGGCCCGTTTTCTCCCTTTTAAAAATCTCTTTATTTGAGAGAGAAAAGAACTTAGTGACAATGATGGTTGCAGAGAGTAGGTGAGGAGGGTGATGGCAGCGGCAGATAATATTGGTTGTAGCCTCATAACCTGCCAAGTACTGCTAATGGATGCTCCAGCAGCATTAGGTTTCCTTATCAGAGAAAGTCAAAGAAAGAACGACTAGTTCCCATTTTCATCAGGAAACAGTCTTCTGGGACTGTAAGTAACTTGCTCAAGATCACAAACTCTGTTGTGTTTTAGAGCTTGTGCTGTTCACCACTGCATAACAGAAAGTAGAAAAAAAGAATTAAATGGCAAAGTGTTTAGTGAACCTCATGGCTCCTTTTAAATAGATCTTTCCAATCCACCTACAACTAATAAAAAAATTCCCCCAACTTCCCTAAGATCCCCAAATATACAGGTCACAGCTATGGTAGGTGTCACTTTGGGTTCCAAAACAAGTCTCCACAATGTCCTGGGAACATATTTCAAAAGAGCCAGGCAACTGTAGATTTTCTTTTTATTGCATTTCTTTTTTTTCAGACTAAATAGTTTTATTTAGGAAACCTCAAATTAATGTTCCTTAATTAAGGGGAAGCAGCAAAAAAGTCATGATTATATTTCGTATATGTTGTGAGCTCTCTAATCTGGTTTCTACAGATTAAGAGTACATTTACTGCCCAGGTGTTAGGATGGCTCCAAAAAAGGCATCTCTAAACCCAAGACAAAACAAAATCGGGAGAACTTAAAATGTTTTATGAATTTCCTCTTTTGAAGAACCATAACAAATCTGCTGCATTAGCATGGATCTCAGATACAGCAAACCTGCCTAATAACACTCTATAAACTCCTTAGGGAAAGAGCAGGAACCACCCAGTAATAGGTTGCTAAGTGTAATGGCTGGCCTCCTGAGAGGGAGGAAGCCATGACTTGTGGAGTTTGCCAACTCTGTGGTGTAAAAGCCTCCACTATGGGCTGTTTCTAGTTTACTCTGTGGTGCTCCGGACATGGAGGCAGAAAGCAAGGTCCAAGATCAGCGCTCCAGACCAACCCACAGCTACGTCTGATTATGAATTAGGTGGTCACTGAGCTATTTCTCTCCAGTGGCAGCCAATTCTATAGAGTTACTGTATGTGTGACCTTGGGCAAGTCACCTCTCCGGGTCTTTGTTTCCTCCTCTCCAAAGGGTAAGATGGAGAATGCCTTCCACTTGTAACATTTTAAAGTTCTAGAAGGCAGTGCCTCCCTTTCTCTGACATCCAAATGCCTTTAAGCGCCTTTCTGGAAAACCAAGTTAGTGCTGTGCAGCATCCAAAAGTGCCTCCAATTTCATCTACTGAGCATAAGGTTTGGAAAGGAGTGACGACTCCCTTTTGCCTCTTTCGATGTGTAGCCAATGGGGCATCATACATTTTTTACACTTCTTTTGCTAGATGTGAGATCCAGGAGGAAAAGCATGGATGTTCCAGGGCGCTCTTGCTCTCCTGGGGTGGGAATCTGCGGGGATGCAGGAGCCTGCTGTATGCACTTCCCGCCTCCCTTTCCCTCAGCGGCATGGCAAGACTGTTGATAGAGTGCTACCTTTTTATTTGTATTTTTATTGTATTATTTTACTATTTAAAAGCCATTTACAAAGATAGAAACTGCTTACATAAAATGGGGGGGGGGGGCTGCTATTTTTTTTCCTGAAAGGTGGCACGTCTCTCAGCAAAGAGAAAAAGGCATGTTGCACAAGGCTTTTTGGCAGTGATAGAAGCCAGCGCCGGTTTGCCTGTTGTCACAGCCAAAGCAAAATGCCACCTCTGCCTAGAAGCCAGAGTGCCACACTCCTCTTTTGTGTCCCAGAGATGTACTCATCATGAGGCCTGGGGCCTGTAGTTTGGCCAGAAGTCTCAGGGTTGCTTGAAGGTCATTTTCCAATCCCAGGATGCCAGGGTAAGATTGCTCAGGGTTCTCAAAATCGATTTTGAGCCCTCAGACTGCATGTCAGATGCAGCCAGTGAATGTGAAATGTGAGGCCTGAGATGAGCCCAGAAGAGCTCTCAACTGCCAAGAGTAAGGTAAGGTTGTGGGGATACCCACGACCCAGGGACCATTCTCTCCCTGGACCCTTTTTTTACCAAACCCAGATGCAGCAACAACAAATGTTCCAGAATCCCATGGCAGGAGGTGCCAAAAACACCTCCCAGCGACAACGACTAACCAAAAAAAAAGTTTCAGTAAAATATTCTCACCCCTAGAGGGGAAAACCTGTCCATGCCTCAAGCAGCTTGACCCCCTTGCAATCCCATCCCTGCGTGGCATGAACTCCGCGTCACTAGAAGATTATCTCCCACCACCCCCTTCCCTGGCCACCCGCTCCCTAGGGAGGGACAGAAGGCTCCCAAAACCAACAGTTTCGCCTCCTTGATCTTTAAAAGAGCAGAAGCTGGCTGTGAGGCTGCAGTGCTGCCTGACTGGGGTGGTGTGGGCTCTGTGGCGGCTGGGCTCCAAGGAGAGCCACAATTGGCTCTGATGAGGAAGGAGCCTCCACAGGGAAGATTGCAAAGAGGGCTTCTGCACACCATGGCTGAGATTGTGTCGTTTCTTGCAAGGTGAAACTTGGCAGTTCTACCTTGCAAGTAAAAACCCAAATTAATTTTTTTTTTAAAGAAATTAAGTCAGAAACAAGGCTTCAGAAAAACTGTGAGTGTTAGGCATAAACTGATTTTGGATGATCTTTAGGTGAGAAAGGGTGGAGTTACCATCAGAAACATGTTTTTATTTATGCTTTTCAAATCCCCACTGGTGTGTGATATGTGTGTGTGAGTGTGCATGTGTGTATTGGTGAGTGTGAGAGTATGCATCGTCTCAATTCTCTAACCACTCTTTATTTTTTTTGCATCTTTTCTGTGCACAATTCGTATAGATGCCCTATAAATAAAAATATTCAGGTCCATCCACACCTTTTCATTTTATTTGTAAATTGTTTGGTATACGCAGCAGAGCGTAATGAAACCTGGAGAAGTTTAAAAGATTAGATTTTTTTTCTATCCTGACACTTCATAACACTGTTCATATGTCTGTGAGTGAGATTTATGAATATATGAGCAGTACTGCAAAATTATACTGCACCAGAGACTTCCTGCGCCACAGGGGTGGCAGTCTAAAGTGACACTGCTTCAAGCATTTTTCACAGACATGAAGCAAAATTTAACCCCCTTAAGGGGAAGTATGATTTCAACAGCTTGAAATGAGCTCATTTGTAGATGATTTCTCTCTCTCTTCTCTCTCTCTCATCTCCTGTAATTTTTTGGTGTTAAGATTAAAACAGATTGCACAACCAAAGTAAGGGCACGTAAGATGCCCAGAGTACAGTTTAGTCCTTAAAGTGAAATCCTCATACATTGTCTTCACGAGGAACATCCCAATCGGGTAAATGAAGGAAAATGTCCCCCTCCATTTCCCAGGCTCTCAGTCTGACTCCCAGAATTGTATGTAGTGGAGAAGGGCCCAGGATTGTGAAAAGGTAAGTGGCAACAAACAGTAATTAGTGAAGTAGAAAAGCACCCATCTCTGGGCGCAGGAGACAGTGGCATTAGGAAATCAATACCACCTGGAATTTCAACTGAGTGAAATTAGCCAATTCCAAAAAGAAACAGAAGAGGTAAAGGTGGTCTCTAAAAATGGTCTGTGTCCAAAATGCCCAGAGTAGAAGTGTTTTATGTGAGATGCCAAGTTCAGATCAGTCTCATTTGGACTGATCCAGCACATTGTGGTTTTGCATAAATTAATGTTCATGATCTCTGTCCTCTGAAACTCTCATTAACCATTTTGTTTCCTCCTGGAACAGAATGGGGTGCTCAGACATGGCCTGGTCCCTCTTTGCCCTCTAAAGACTCCATGATGTGTTGGCTGGAAAACTTTTGTCTCTTTTTCAGCAATGGTACAACAGCTCCATGAATGTCATCTGTACCTGGTTGACGGACCGGATGGACTTACAGCTTCACATATATCAGTTGAAAACACTAATTAGGATGGTTAAGGTAAAAGAAAAAAATAATTATTCTTCATCGCAAATAGTCCACTGACATACACTTCACTGCCATGCACAGGAAATGCTTAACAAAGAATATTTGTTTACATGTGTAACTCGAATTTCTAGACTAAAATCTCCTACAAGGAAAAAACTCGGAAATCACTTTGTGATGCCTGGCTCATTTCTGAATCACACATCAAAGAAAACTTTAGTAAAAAGGAATTTGCTATTGTTATCCAGATGACAAAAATACTTTATTTGCCTTAGAAAAACGCCACAAAGGCCATCATACCCTTTGCATTAGACTTTCAAAAACTGGCACTACGTATCATTATGCTAATCACACAAATTACCAATTTCATTTATGGTTTAATTAAATAAAATTTTGTCACAGTTGATTGAATGGAGATATTTACTTCCAGCCATTTCTAAAATGTCCCGTGATCATTATCAGAATGCAAATCAATATTATTCTCATAGTTAATTGAAGTAGTTTCTCTTACAATGCGTGTATACAATCAAATGTAAAGGATCACAAAGGTGAGATAACATACCCTGAAAGTAGCTTTTTTCCCTGTTCTTCTGTGCGCGCCTTGGACTAATGATAATTATTTCAGCGTGAAATCTCAGTGGTTTATGTGAAATAATAAGATCACAGAAGGGGGTAAATACGTTTTTGATCATTTCAGTTTCCATTTGATGCCACACCGTGGAGGGTTTTAAAACACTCCTGTGTGGAACTCCCATTCAAAGAACAAAGTCTCCTTTAAAATATTTTAACCATCTACATAGCTGAATTTCTGTTTCTTAACAGTTTGTCAGAAGTCTCCCCCACATTCAGCCCCACCCCATTTCTCCATCTCTTGCCAGTTGCACCATCCCTCTGAAGGTGCTCCCCCATTCCACTGCTGACTTAAAACCAATTACTGTTCGGTGTGTGTAATTAAGGAGAATCATTGTCATCCGCATTTGATTTCACAAAGCATCTGCCTAGTAAAGGTTACAAGCAGTGGGGTATAGAACAGCTCTTCAAAAAAATGCAACTATGGACCCAGCTGAATTTCCCCATTTTTATTTTAGTTTCCTAAGACAAACCCACTAGCCACTGCATGACCACTTAAAGTCTGTTTTCTGGATATAAATATGCTCATGGGGGGAGTGTAGTTTCTATCTGACCCTTATTGGGAAGACATTTTAAAAAGGACATTTTAATATTTTTAAATAATCTCCCCATAACTGATATTTCCAGATCTGTATCAAGAATTAGCATTATTTTATTAAGAAAAAAATGTCAGAGAGGAGGTTAATCTTCATCCTCTGCCAAACACACACACACACACACACACACACACACACACACCTACCTCACAGAGAAGTGATACAGAAATGTTGCTGTCAAAGGAGTCTCTTCACTCTTGCCAAAATTAGTCCCTGCTTCCTAAGGCCACACCACAGAGGTAGGAAGCAGAATTCACCTCCTCAGTACCAAGTCCATGACCAGGAGGTCTCCTTCTACAGGGCACATTTCCAGGGATATTTGGCTTTCTCTCCTCCCTCAACAGATACTCTCTTTATTCATACATCTATTCATTATCCAGCAAGCCTGTCTTCATGCATCTAACACTGGGTAAAGTGAGCCCCTCTGTGTGTATAACTAGCTGGAAGATTTAAAAATGGATGGAGGTGGCCCCTGCCCTCGAGTATTAGAGTCCAGTTGGGATGCACACACGGTCATATCCTGGAATTCAATAAAGGGCAGAAAACTTAAAAAACACTTACCTATGTTTTTCCCATCCTGTCTTGGCCACAACTGTGTTATTTGAAATTGCCATGAAACAACTGATTGACAAGTTCAGAAATTTCAGCTAATGACCTAGCTGGTATACCCCACTGACTCAGCCTCTTGCCTTTCCCCATCAAGGTGGAGAAAGAAGTCAAGCAGCTACATGGCTTCTTCCTCCTCTTGAGAGCCTGCAGCTTGATCCATGTTTTCAGATGACCTTATAATTGAGAAGCCAGATCATTTTTAAGAGGACAAGAGGGATCAGTCAGAATCATGCTGGAATAGTGGGCATAAAGTGCAAAGGGAACACATAGTCATCTTTCCTGCAGTCCTACCATGTAGCCCAACACCAAGCCAAACTTCACTCACTCATTATCTCTATAGTCACTGCAATGTATAACCTCCAAAGGAGGTCGACCTTGTGATTGCCAAATTGCCATTACATTAGAAGGATTATTAGAAATCACAGTGGGAGTGGCATTGGAATATGTTAACGTTCTTTCTTTTGCCCCTTTGTCAAGTTTCTTATATCAATAAGAGAAGCAAACAGCAGAATCAGTAGCTGAAATGATATGCAGTGTGATGAGAAGAGTTGTAGTTAGAAAGGGACCTTTTTTAAAAAAATAAATTATAAAGTAGACAACAGCCAGATGCTTCTGGTCATGTTCAATTAACACTAAGGCATTTCTAGAAAGAAACAGTCCTTAGGATACCTAAGGAAACCCTGAGAGAAATCGCCTGAAGGAACAAAGAAAGAACTTGTGGTGCAGTAATACCAAACCATTGTTCTTGAAAAAGAGCCAAATTTCTTCCCTGAGTGCATAAAGTTGTGAACGGAATAGATACAGTTCTTTCCCAAGGAGATGAGAAATGAGTCACATGCCTGCAACATATTGATGAGCCATTAGCGCTCCATCTTTCTCGTAATTGTTGCTGCCCGTAATAGGTTTCATATACCAACATGCATATGTCTATCTTGTGAATGAGACAGAGGGATATGGCTCATGCAATTATAAGACTCAAAAATCCTAAAACCAGACTGGAATCACAAATACTGTAATCACTTGATCCATCATTTATATGTTATAGCCCCTCACAGTGTCAATCATATTATGTTACACTAAGAAAAAGAAGCAGACCAAAAAAAAAAAAAAAAAAAGAAAGAAAGAAAAAAAAATCAAAACAATTATGGAACGTTTCCCTCTACAGAACCGAGTAAACACACACTTATGTTCTTTGCTTTGTCTCATCTAATACAGTTTATCCTGTCACAATTTCTCATTTTCTGTCATTCCATGAGGCTCAGTTTTCAGTACAAAATGTAATCTAAGCACAGTGACCTTTTACTTGGCACTGAAGGAAGATGACATTAGCTGAAGGTCGGACCTCTCACACACACACACACCTACTTTGCGCCCACCCCCTCCACTCAGAGATGAGCTCTCACTGATCGCTGCATCTTTTCCCCCCTTAGAAAACCTACAGAGATTTCCGATTGCAAGGGGTCCTGGATTCCACCCTCAACAGCAAGACCTATGAGACCATCCGGAACCGGCTCACAGTGGAAGAGGCCACAGCGTCTGTGAGCGAGGGTGGGGGCCTGCAGGGCATCAGCATGAAGGACAGCGACGAGGAGGATGAGGAAGATGATTAGACCACTCGGGCCCTGGAGTCCACCGGGACAGAGTCCTGTAATCAGTGCATGTCCTTAGTCTGTTAGTTAACCCCACTAGGGAATTTTCTGTCAACTATCATGCCCATGAGATGTTTACCAGTACAATTGCCATTTTAGCTATATGGTATCAAGATTAGCAAATGACCTTCAGATCTACTGATTCTCTTATTTCCATGTCTGTATGTTTACAAGCAATATGGAGCACCATTCTTTAAATGCCGTTCATGGAGAACACATAGCCCAGCTCTTAGGCCTGTCTGCATTCTTGGCAAAGTATAATGATGCTTCATACTCAGTGCTGTGTGTGTGTGTGTCGGTGGAACATGGGTATAAGGGTGAGAATGCTGAGTACTTTAACTTCTTTGTTCATGTATGTGGATGCCAGTTATTTTAATGAGAAAATAAATTAATTTAATGAAGCACATAGATCTGCTCTGTTTTTATTGGAAAAATCAAAGGCAAGGCTCTAACAGCCAACTTTTGGTTCTTTCTGTTCCCCTAAAACCAAAAAAGAATTTAGACTCCCATGTCTGTGTTAGTCCATCTTTTCATTTATGTTGTAACCAAAAAAAAAACCGACACACCAATGGATTGATTCTATTTGCTGGGGCACGGAGGCTGTTCCATCATGATTAGCACCAAGCATAGTGCAGAGGAACTGTCTCCTGTCAAAGTTTATCCTATTAAATGTTACATTCTGCTTTTATGTTTCAATAACTCTGTGTATTAAAAAATCTGAATATTTAAATTACAACCCTAGAATATAAATGTGTTTATAAGAAGATAAAGATATTTCCTTCCGTAGATTATATCTGTAATTTAAAGTATTTTGTTCCACACTGTTTTTTATAGCCATCACGTACCTTGCATTTGATGTGTGACTGTGCGACCCGAGGGCTCGATGCGGAGCGCCTTCTGTCTGTGTAAAGTAGTGGATCCATCTTGCTTTTTGCCTTATACAAAGCCTACAGTTACGAGAGTGTGGGAAACTGTGGCTTCTCAATAAATACTTATTCAAATGTCGTAAGAATATACGTTTGGGTCTGTCTTCCTCCGTCTCTGATAGCCAGAGCTGAAACATAAGAATCAGAAACGGCTGGAAAAGGGAAGGAAGAAGTAATTTTTCTGGAATGTCCTTGACATGGTGGGAGTGAGTTATTTCCAAATGCTTGTAGTTCTCTGCGAGAGACTGCCCAGAATGCCATTAATTCAGACTCCACTAATTCAGGATCTGTGGGCATTTGGACATGTTGGGCAGATTACGCTTGCATTATAGGATAAATAAGGGTTTGCTGAGCAAGTGAGTAGTGTAAACGAGAGAAATGTTTCTCCTGTATGAAGAGAAGGCCAACAAACTGTTTTTAAGCACCACTTTAACAGCAGTGTTTGCATTCAAACAAAGTGTGTGCCAATTATATATGATTCTTATATATTTGTTAAAGCATTTTACAAGATTCTCTAAGAGATGGAGTGTTCCTCTCACTCCCCAGTCTCTGTCAGCAATATAATCACCTAGGTTTGAAAGAAATCAAACACAAATAGCCTTGTTTGCTTTATTTGTGTCTGTCAGCAAACAGGATTGACACATCCAGACAGTGTATCCCACCAAGTTTAGTTCTTGAGGTATACAGGTGCAACCTAGCAGGACTTGCTGCCCTTAATGGGGTTTCATTAAAACCCATTTATTGAGCAACTATTCAGTGCCAAGCATTCTGCAGGTATTATTCCACTTAAATCTCCTAACAATCATAAGAGAGAAATAGTATTTTCTTCATTATAGATGCAGAAGTGAAGGACAAAACATTAAGGAAGCTTACTTGCCTAAAGATCACCCAACTCCATGCAGAAGCATCAGTCTAGAGAGACTAACAGAGAAAAAGAAGAAAGAAACAAAGAGTTAATACAAGGGCTGGGGATAAGTTCAGCTGTACAGGGCCTGCCTGGCAAGTCCAAGATCCTGAGTTTGATTCCCAGTATAAAATAATACATAAACAAAACAAAGTGCCTGGGAAAACTGGTAATAAAATGCTGAGAGTATATCATTCAAGTATGAAAAGTTTTTTTGATTGCTTAGTAGTATGTAGTCAGAGTAGCAATGCCAGCAATTTTTAAAATATTTTATCATATTTTAAGTTGCAAACTTAAAGCATATTTCTTGCAACAATTACAAACAATTCAAAAATGTAGAAAATAAAAAGGAAGCATCTGCCCTGTATGTAAGCATGGGAGAAAGAAAAAAATGCTCAGGATCTAAGGAGAGGAGTTAAGTGAGCAGGTTAGATAACTAACCAGCCTAAGAGCACAATCCAAAAGATAAAAGAAGAACTAAGTCAGAAAAGAATGTATCTCCAAAACCAAGGCCAGGAAAGCCAAGATTCCTTCAAAAGGAGAACCACCATCACTGACCCATAAAGACCTTGTTACATAGTGTCCTCCAATGTGGCAACACGGAAAGAGAGCAAGGGAAAGGAAGTGACATCAGAAGAGGTCAAGGGAATGGAAGTGACCTCAGAAGAGTTCAAGGGAATGGCAGTGACCTCAAAAGAGGTCAGAGACCGGGGCTGGAGATTTAGCTCAGTGGCTCAAGTGCTTGCCTTGCAAGCACAAGGTCATGAGTTTGATCCCTGGTACCAAAAAAAAAAAAAGAGGTCAGAGAGAAAGCACTGACCAAGCTTAATGCTTAGGCTATCCTTGCCATCAACACAAGGCTGAAAAGACAGCTGCCTTTTTAATACAATATATACATGCAGAAGAGTACACAAATCCTGATCATGCAGCTCAATGCACCCTCAGGAGTTAAACATACTAGTGGATCCCTTAGGGACTAAGAAACAAAATACAGCCAACAGTCCTGGCTTACCCTGTGCCACATGCTTGCCCTGCCTCTGTTCCCCGTCCTTCCTAAAAGTAACCACCATTCTGATTTCTAATAGCATAGGTAAGCTGGCCTGCTTTAAATCTTTATATAATTAACAGTCACAGGACATATTCACTCACATGTGGCTTCCTTTGCTCTACCTTACATCATTAGGGTAGCCGTGTTGCGGTGTGTGTGTGTGTGTGTGTGTGTGTGTGTGTGTGTGTGTGTGTTACTTGGTCTCACACATACTAGAAACCACTCCATCACTGAGCTATATCTATAGTCCTTTTTGTTTTATTTTGAGAGATAAGGTCTAACTAAGTTACCCTGGCTGGTCCCAAACATGCAATCCTCCTGCCCAACCTCCTGAGTAGCTGGCATGACAGATGTGCACTGCCATGCCTCACTTATTGATGTATGAATAGACCACAAATGACTTGCCTATTTTATAAAGCTGTTTTCCATTTGGAGCCATTTGGCCAGGCCCTAGGGCAAAGGTATGCTCATTTCTAGATGATGCTGCCAGTTACACACAGGAAGTGAACACCGTTGTACCCTTGCCAGCAGGATATCGGGGTCCCTGTTGTTGCTTACGTCCCACAACTCTAGGCAATGTGGCTCCTTAATGTTCACCTTTCCAGTAAGTGGTGTGTACAGTTCACAATTGTAATTCACTGACAACACAAGTAGAGTTGACTGTCTTTGAATGAATGAACTGCATTGGCAACATGGAGAGCCTCTTTTGTGAAGTGTGTGTTTCTCCTTTTTTTAAAAGGAATAAACTCTAGAGCTATTTAAAGGCTGGAGGGGAAGAGGCCAAAGGAAAAAGTACCAGATGAATAGCATTTTCAAGCCAAACATTAACCTGAAAGAAATGCATCAATTAAGGACCAGTCCACCCATAGTCTAGTGCTGTGTGGCCAGGCCCCATATAGGAAATATCCTGAAGATCTCCACCCACACCTTTCCCTCGGGGGCATGGCCCTTCTCAGAAGTGTGCCAGCTATAATGAAAAGCATGCAGTTGACCCCTACATTTCTCATAGGGAGAGTAGCAAATATGGTAAGATGAAATGCAAGGATTGGACCTTGCTTGCCCCTCCTCTGTCACCCATTCTGGATTGTCTATACTCATCCCCTGCCCTTCTTGCTGAGCATTCCCATTCTCATCTGGAGACTTGTTCAAGTCCCAGCTGACTCTGACTTCTCCAGGAAGCCTTTTCATACTCCACCCTTAACTCAGCATCCATTTCCTTCATGTGGCCCCTTCACGGCCCTCAGGATGTCTCCCTCACAGTAGTCACACCCTGTTCCTCAACAGGGTGCTCTCATCACTGTGTGTTTCCTGTCACCTTCTCCACTTCAGGTGCTCCCAGCTTGCCTACTCTCCACTAGACACTCACAAAGGTAGATTAATAATGAATGTCTCCTTCCACTTGGGTCTGTTACTCTGCAGAGCCAAGAGCTAACCAATACTTTTATTTTTTTCCACATATTGGAAGACATGTTTTAAGTTGAAAATATCAAAGAGATAGAATTATATGAAATAAAAAGTGCAAACTTCTCTCCATTAACCCATTTCCCTTAAGTAGCCACTGCTGACAGATGGACAAATAGTCTTCAAATATGTTCCAGTCTTATGCAAGTATGTGTCATATGTATTATATATTTATAAGTGAGGGTCATCAGAGCCTAATATTTGGTAAATTCCATTGTGCATTTACTAATGGATCATTTGTAAATCTGCACCTACAAACTTTCCATATTTCTTTGGGAACGGGTATAATGTGTACTGCAGCGATCAGTGTAATGTCTCTAAGGAGATTTTTCTGGTCAAGGAATAAACAGGGGCAAAGTAGGGTAAATCAAAATCCCAGGATGAAAGTAGGATGGATCAGACATAATGGAGGAAATGAGCCATCTGTGAAAATGACCAGGGGCCTGCTCAAAAATGTGTGACTGAAGAATTGCTGAAAACACCCCAGATCCAGTAACAGTCTAATCGCACTGCCTTACAGTTATCTGTTTATGTGTCAATCTTTCTGCTATGCAGCCAACAACTTGAGGTCAGGAATTCTGAGTGCCTTTGTATATGCCAGTCTGGTGCCTAGGATTCAGCAGGCACTCAATAAATGTTGCTGGAACTTAATGAGTAAATATCAGACAGGCACACTTGAGAATGATCATGACCAAGAAAGGATAAAATAAATTTATGCCTTTATGCTCTATATATTAAAAAAAAAAAAGAATTCAAAAGAATGCAGACAATGGCTCTCCACCCTGTTGTCCCACCAGTACTGTGGTCCCAGTTTCCAACATAGGTATAAACAGTTACGCTGTCACAAGTTTGAGTTTCTATAAGAATTTTAGAAACTCTACCAATGAGAAGTAATATTATTGCTTAAGCACAAAATTTAATAAGTTCATCTCATTTATATTTTGAGATCCAAAATAAGTGTATTCTTTGTGGCCAGTTTCCATCAGATACATCTGAAATGAGATCAAATTATGCACAATTCTGTACTTCTTGATAAACAATTTTTTAAAAATCAATATTCATCATTTATTCAAGGTTGTTGTGCTGCTTCATCTAGAAACTAAAATTATCATTTGTTCCTTCTTATGAAACCACGCACTTCATCTAGAGTTGTAAATCTGCACTCATGTCTAAACAAAGCATGAAAAAATGGCCAATGAGGATCCAGTCTGCTAGCAGAGTTCTCTACCCTGATGACTGTACGTTGAAGGTCACAGAAAAACAGTTAGCAACCAATTAATCATGACCACCAGCTAGCAAAGGAATAAAATGATTACAATTAATCACAAAATAAGAGGAATGCAAAAGCAACAATAGCCAAAAGCACACACATAAAAATTCTTTATTCCCTAAGAATTGATGGTGGGAGGGCAAAAAGCAATGTAAACCTGGTTAAGTTGGCATATTTCCTTCTGTCCATCAGAAACAACTTGGCTTTTTTCCTAGGTGCCGAATACAATTGCAAAGAATAAACAAGATTTTGCTTTAGGCAGAAAGCATGTGATTAAAGATACTATGAATTTCACAGGCAGTGCTGGAAATTCTGGGATGTGTTTAAAAGGAAATCGAGGGCAACAAAAAGAAGACAAATGCTGTGATATTTGGTGCAAATTAAAGGACAGTTTATGTGGAAG